GACAAATATAAAATCAGGCTGAATATGCTCCAAATACTCAGGTAAAAACTGTTGAGATACATGGAGAAGAGGTCAGAGACATAGAGCAGGACTTAACCTCTGAGCCTTTTGCAGCACAAGTAACCCAAGTGTGACTCGTATGATCCCACAGTTTGATTGGGTCTATCATGTGTAAGTGGTCTAATAAAGAATTCTATAGCTGACAGCTAGAGAGTGCAGCTTTTTTTTTTCCAGAAAAGTTCATTGCATTACAGAAAATCGCAATAAACCCCCAAAGCAGACACTGTACAAGCCAAATTCTCTAAACAATGCAATAAAACTAGATATAACAAAACCATAAATTAAATTTTAAAATGCTCTGTGAAATAAATCCTTGGCTAGGGATTCACTGAAAACCTCAGTCACAGTCTGTTCAGAAACCAATTTGGTTGTGTGAGATGAGGCAGGAGCCCAGGAGGCCGCATCTTCCCGTTAGGGCCCTCCTGCTCGGAGACCTGGTGTTGCCGGGATGAGAGGCCTGGGGACCACACGGGAGGCCTTGTGGGCAGCCACCAAGGGCAGAAAGGCCACTGGCGTTAGGATCCTTCAGCCCTGAGTTCAAGTTCTGCTTGCACCTCTTAGCTGTGCTGAATTTGTCGATCTCTCTTCCTTTTTGGACTTCAGTCTGCTTACTGAAAACCAGGAATGTTGAGCTGCATCTGTGGTTCCCAACCCTCCTTAGGCAACACAGTCACCTGGGAGGTTTTTAAATACCACTGATGCGTGGGATCTACGCCCAGAGATTACGTCTCTGTTGGTGCGGAAGGCCAAGTCGTCAGTATTAAAAAAAAAAAAAAAAAAACTCCCCAAAGTGATTCCAGTGCACAGCCAAAGTAGAGAAGCCCAGGGCTGGGTGATTTCTTGCCACCACCACCCGCAGCTCTGACAGCGGTCCTGCTGGGCACCTGCAGTCTGCCCTGGAAGAAAGTTTCAGGAGGCGAGAGCCAGAGACACAGCCACGCCAAGCCATCTAATCAAAGTGTGCATTATCTCAAATGGTGCAGAAAATGCCTGCGCCAGTTAATATTTTGCACCCAACATGATTTAGACCTGGGGCATAGATTGTACTCCGAGCCCATTGCAAACACAATGGGCCATGTATTCACTGAACAGTAACCACTGTAATTACCTACAGGGCAAACATATGAGGTTGTTCAAGCAACAATTAATTGTAGACCTGGAACTAATGGGACAATAACGGGAAAGTATCAACCAGAGTGTGCTTCAGAAATCACTTCAGAAACCCAGTATTTTCCAAATTGTACTAGAAAAGCATTTTTGGGGATGTGATGGCGTATAGAACATCCCAGGTCCCCAAAACAGTTGCTCCAGGTTTTTCTAATAGCTCCTCCTCAAGCCACTGAAGGTGGGAGGCAGGCAGTGGTTTTTCGTCTTGGGAATAGTGGACACGCTCTGAGAGGACTGTAGAGTGCTTCTATTTCCTGCACTCGTCACAGCACCACCTCAATACACCTGCCAGCAGGCGTGCGGACCCTCTGGACTGTAGGGTCTTTTTTGTGAATCGGATGGAAACCATGGGTCCTTTGTTCCCTTTTGCAGAAAAATGTGTGTGTCTGATGCACATGCATGCCCACACAGTCTCTGCCCCACAGTTCTTGGGGTTTCCGTGGACGCCTTGAATGCCCTCTGTTCTCACCAGGCTGTGAGCTGCAGCCTGTCTTTGCCTACCTCCAGGCTCAGGCACCGCACTACTTCTTTTTTTTTTTTTTTTTTTTTTTTTTTTTGACAGGCAGAGTGGACAGTGAGAGAGAGAGAGAGATACAGAGACAGAGAGAAAGGTCTTCCTTTTGCTGTTGGTTCACCCTCCAATGGCCGCCATGGCAGGCCCGCTGTGGCCGGCGCATCACGCTGATCTGATGGCAGGAGCCAGGTACTTATCCTGGTCTCCCATGGGGTGCAGGGCCCAAGGACCTGGGCCATCCTCCACTGCACTCCCTGGCCACAGCAGAGAGCTGGCCTGGAAGAGGGGCATCCGGGACAGAATAAGGTGCTCCGACCAGGACTAGAACCAGGTGTGCCAGCGCCGCAAGGCGGAGGATTAGCCTATTGAGCCACGGCGCCAGCTCCGCACTACTTCTAAAGCCAGGAGTTCCGCTGATGGACAGCCCTGAACCTGCTGTTCCTCAAGGCATCCTGCTGCGATTTTCTGTTGGTCCCAACTTGACCTAGAATCTTTCTAACAGTCATTCTGCCCTTGGTCCTTACCCGCCTTGGAGTGTCCCTGACTCAGTGGAAAGCTTAGTTTGGTTTCTGGGGTGCTGTCTCCAGGTAATGGCTGCTTGGCTGCCAGGAAGTCCGCTCCAGCAGGTTGGATGCAGGGGTCCTGGTGAGTGGCTTTGCACCCTCTGAAGCAGACCAGGGAGAAGGGCAAATGTCTAGTGCCCCACCCTCAGGGGGAGGGGTGGAGAGGACTGCCTCGGGTGACAGAAGAGGTGGTAACATGTCTTTGGCTGGGCTCCGAGGGTGCCAGCACACCATTTCCCTGGAGGCTGCAGCCAGAGGCTGCGCTGGGCCCGATCTACAGCTGCTGCTGGGACAAGCCAGGGCTCAGAGAGCGAGCTGGTGGCAGCAAAGACTGAGCTTGCCTCGGCCATGACCTCTCGGGATGGGAGGTTTAATGGGGGGTGGGAAGGCGTCTGGTGCAGAGGTTAAGGATGCTGCTTGGGAGGCCCACATCCTGTATCAGAGCCTGGGCTCCAGTCCTGGCTCCATTTCCAATCCCAGCTTCCTGCCAGTGCACACCCTGGCAGGCAGCAGGGTGATGACTCCAGAGCTTGGGTTCCTGCCGTTCATGTCGGGGACTCGGATTGAGCTCCTGGCTCTGGCTCCTGCCTGGCCCAGCTCTGACTGCTGTGGGCATTTGGAGTGTGAACGAGCAGATGGAAGGTATCTGTCTGTGTGTGTGTGTCTTTCTGTCCTTCAAATAAATAAATAAATAAATAAAAATTGTTAAAAAAAAAAAAAAGGAAGAACAGAAACTGTGGAGAAATCATTGTATAATCTCAGGGTAAGAAAACTCTTCTTAAATATGATACAAAATCTGAGGACATAAAAGAAAAGGCATTGATAAATTCGACCACATTTTAAGATTATACATTTGTACATGGCAAAAGACAGCATAGGCGGCATCCAAGGATGGCCTGGGGGCGGGGAAGGGGTAGGCGGCATTTCCCACAGTGTTCACTGCTCCAGATAAAGCCCACTCTACAGACTGGTAGGGAGACTCGGCATCCGCTGCGACTTAGCCAGTGGACCGCATGGTGTCCGGAAGGGACGCCCAGTGGCTCTGAAACACAGGGAGAGAGACCCAGCCTCACTCCCCGTGAGACAAATGCAAATCAGAGCTGCAAGCAGAGTCCATTTCCCCCGTCACTCTGCAAAGATCAAAAAACCTGATAACCCCCCTGTGTGGCTGGGCCGAGGGAAAGGAGAGCTGAGATCTGAAGAATGCTGGGGGAGAGATGACATTTAAGCGGGGCCGGGTAGGACAGATAATTAAAATCCAATTTAACAACTTACTGGCACTTGAAAGCAAAGGAAGAAATAATGAGAAAGATAGACAGATTTGACTGCTGAGTGTAAAAACACACACACAGAAAGTAAAGACAAACACACTGAAATATTTGCAGCAATGCTAATAACCTGAGTTTGAATGCTTTATATAAAGAAAGCCTTCATTAAATTCAATGAGGAAAGCATTAGACTATCACTCAAAAAATAAAGGACATGGAAGAGTGATTCCTCAAATAGGATCTACTACTTGTTAACAACCACATGGAGAAAGGCTCGTTATGTTTAACTATGAATGTAATATGATTCAGGGTGTTTTTCTTTAGTGATAATTCATTGTAAAATCAGAAAAATGTATTTAATTCCCTCTGTGGACAAGAATATGGTGAAATTGTCCCCCTAATTATCCCCGACTAGCAGATGTGCAAATTGATAAAGATCTCTTTTGGACACAAGTATCAAGTCTTTCGAAGCTCACGTTCTTTATCTGGGAAATGTTCTTTCACAGACCCAATGCTATAGAAATAGCCAGAAATATGGGTGAACAAAACGCTATGCACAAATACACCTGGAGAACGGTACAAAAATAAGTACGACAAAACATGTGACATACTGGAAACAGTCTGAATGCCCCCAGATCAGAGAGGAGTCAGTAAATCACGGTATGTTCATACGCTTGCCTATTATACAGCTATTACAACGCTTTGAAGGAGTTTTTAACAGGACGGCTAAATGCCTGTAAGGTAAGTGGAGAAAGAAAACAGTACAATTATATAAAGAGAATGATCTCAAGAATTGTTTAAAAATTTTTTTTATTTTAGAGGCAGAAAGAGCAACACACACACACACACACACACACGCACACACAGGTTCCATCTGCTGGTTCACTCCCCAAACGCTCAGGATGGCTAGAGATTGGGCCATGCCAAAGCCAGAAACCAAGAACTCCGTTGAGTCTCCCGCGTGGGAGGAAGGGAGACTACTTGAGTAGTCCCAACTACTTGAGTCATTACTGCTGCCTCCCAGGGTGAGTGTGTTGGCAAGAAGCTGGAACCAGGACTCGAACTCCAGCACTGGATGTGGAATGCTGGCGTCCCAAGCAGCGTCTTAACCAGTAGGCCCGCAAGAATCTTGTATTTACAAAGGTCAGGTGGCTGCATAGAAACAGGACTGAAGGAAGCGGGCTGCATGACGGTGGTTCTTTGGGGAGGGGTGGGTCGTTGGTTAGTTTCACCCTTTTTTCTCATTTGCCACTTGTCTTCGGTGATGATGTGTAGCCTGCCCAATGAAAAGGCTGAGACGCGAACTTCCCCCACCCACACCCCTGCGCCGCCCAGGGTGCCCCAAGCCAGACCTGTAAGCCCCTACTCCCACAGCAAGGCAGCGGCGAGGCCGCCAGTAAAAGGTGTTTTCTGGGCTGTGTCTTCCAGCTGTCGTTTGCTGCCACCACGCCTGTCCTGGCCGATAAGAAGAAATACCCCTACTTCTTCCGCACGGTGCCGTCGGACAACGCGGTGAATCCGGCCATCCTGAAGCTGCTGAAACACTACCGCTGGCGACGCGTGGGCACGCTCACCCAGGACGTGCAGAGGTTCTCCGAGGTGCGTGCCGGACGTACCTTCCTGGCTCCTTTCAGGGACACAGAGGGGCGGCTGCCCTCGGGACGCTGGGGGTTTGTACCTTGGTTCCCGGCGCTGTGGTGATCTTCCAGAGTAGCAGTGCGCCCCCTAGGGGGCTGATCCCGGAGGAGAAGCTGCCCGGAGCTAAGACCGCAGGGCTCCCGCGGGGCTCTCTTGGGTTGAGGGGGTTGGGGGGATTTAGGATTGGTTTTTAATGGCTTACAAATATATGCTAGCACAGGGCATTTCCTTTTGCAAAAAGAAGCAATGCAGCAGTATATAGGAAAAGTGTTGCTTTGTCTCTGGCTCCCTCAGTCTCACCCTCTCTCCCAAATACACTCCTGCTTTGGGTCTGGTGCCAGGACTTTTTCAGTGTGTTTGTTTAAGTCTAAATGCCTCCGTGCTGTACACGGGTCTTCAGAAGGTTTGTGAAAATGCATATTACGATAAAACTATGCGTGGATTTTGATTTTTTTGCACCAAAATAAACTTCTTTTTGAAATATTTATTTTATTAATTTGAAAGGCAGAGAGAGAGAGCGAGCGCAAGTGCTTGCATCCCCTGGTCACTCCCCAAATGACTGCAAAAGCCAGGACTGGGTCAGACTGAAGCCAGGAGCCAGGAGCTTCTTCTGGGTCTCCCACAAGGGTGCAGGGGCCAAAAGACTTGGGCCATCTTCTGCTGCTTTCCCAGGTGCATTAGCAGGGAGCTGGATTGGAAGTGGAACAGCCAGGACTTGAACCCATGCCCATATGGGATATCAGCACCGCAGGCAGCGGTTTTACCCACTACGCTATAACATCAGCACCAGAATAAATTTATCTTTTAATTCCATTTTTCCACTTCGTTTTTCAAGCTTTTACAACAGATTTGAGAGACCTTGTTTGAGCTCAGGTTTTAACGAGGCATGTTCTGTGAAATTGGTGCAACTTATCCAAACACACCATGGGTCTCCACAGCTTCTCCCCACCACAGCCAACACCTTCGTGTCCAGCAATAGAGTTCTAGAAGTAGAATTGCTGGGTCATTTAATTTTTTTTTAAAGATTTGTATTTATTTGTTTTATTTGAAAGAGAGACAGAGAAAGATTGACAACATACACACACACACACACACACACAATCTCCCATCTGCTGGTTCTACTCCCCAAATGCCTACAACAGCCAAGGTTGGGTCAGGTTGAAGCTAGGAGCCCAGAACTCAATACCGTCTCTGCTATGGGCAGCAGGACCCAAGTATTGGAGCCATCACCTGCTGCTTTCCAGGGTGTATGTTAGCAGGACTCTGGAGTTGGAAGGGGACCTGGGACTCCAACTCAGCACTCCAACCCGAGATGCAGGAATCCCCAGTGGCATCTTAACCACTGCTCCCTCCAAGACTCATTGAGCATTGTGAGAGCCAAAAAGCGCTTGCACTTTCTAGTCCCACCAACAATATTTGAAAGTTTCCACTGCAGGGCAGGTGTTTAGCCTTGCAGGTAAGCCACAAGTTGAGACGCCCACTTTCCATGAGTCAGTGGACTTGAATCCCGGCTCTTACTCCTGGTTCCAGCTTCATGCTAATATGAACTCTGGGTGACAGCAGGTGGTGGTTCAGGTACTTGGGTCCCTAACACCCACAAGGGAGACCTGGATTGAGCTTCCATTTTCAGCCTGGCCCTGTCTCTGCTGTAGCAGGCATTTGGGGAATGAACCAGAAGATGGGAGCACATCTCTCTCTCTTGCTCTCTCTGTCCCCGCCTCCAAAAACATAAATACATAAAAATTTTTTTAAAAAAGTTCCCATTTCCACGTATCCATACTCACTGCAGATTAGTGAATTTGAAACAGGTTTCCCCGCTCGGATGAGCACAGAACAGTCTTTTGTCTTTCCCTCCCATGGCGGGCTGAACCTCAGACTTTGCTATTCCCACACATGCTCATGGAACTTTGAGCCTCCCAACCAGCAAGACATCGCGGGCAGCTCAGCTGCCGGAGGGAAGCCACGTGCTAGCGGTGCCGGGGATCGCCCCACATGAGCCCCGTGTGCAGGCCACCCCCAGGGGCCACCCTCCTACCAGCCCAGGACAGGAAAGGCCCAGTGAGGGGGTGACAAAGGCGGGGACAGAGCAGGGCCAGGGTTCCCCCGGACCCGGTTCCTGCTCCGGCTCTACATCTCACCACTATGGCGCCTGCCTCTCCCTTGGAGAGAGAGGCCTCTTGATGCGCCGGCTGAGATGCTGGGAAAGTCGCCTTCACCCTCATGGAAGGTGGGGACAAGGGCCCTCTGTACGCCACCCCCCATCCCTTGCAGGGATTTTGCCAAACCCCAGTGAGTAGAGGACCTGGACCAGCTTTGTAGACTTTGAAGTTCCTGCAGAGGGAGATGCTTGAAAAGCGGAAATGCCTGCCCCCTCCCCCGCTACACTCCCCCCTGCCACACACACACACCATGTGCCGTTCTCCAAACCAGGCCAGCGTTCCCCAGGCAAGACTGCACCTCCTCTCCTCCGCCTCTGTCTCTCAGCCCCGAGGAGGGAGGGGCACAAAGGAAACGGGACCTCCATGGCAGTGACTCGCTGGCAACCACAGCAGAGACTCTTGCTGGCAGACTGCTCTTTGTAGGGCAGCCACAGATGCTCTCAAAGAGCAGGACGTGGGTTCATGGTACAGGGTGCAGAGCGCCAGCGCCGTGGCCCCATTTGCACAGGACCTTGCAGCAGTCTGAGGAGGGGGCGTTGCTTTTTCTCTAATCTTATCTTTGGCTGCCAGAGCCTGAAGGACCCTTTGAGACACCGTCCAGGCGTGGACAGCTGTCCACACTACTTACAGAAAGGGCAGGATGGAATTCCAGGTCCCGATCCCAGTGCAGACTTCCCATCGCTCTTTCTCTCTAGCCTTGTCTTCCTGGAGTCACGTGGCAATGCATGCACCTGCACGTAACCTCGGGGCTTCTAAGCTCCCATCAGCTTGGTGCAAGGAGGGTAAATGATCGGCCTTGACATTGCCTGGATGCTTTCTGGATTTTTGGATGCTCTCACGGCTGCTGCCTGGTGGGGGGAGGGATGAAGGTTCCTGTTTGCAGAACCGAGGTCTACTGAGGTGGGCTGGGCTGGGCAGCGCTCTCCGCGTGTTGGGATCCCGGTGCCTGCACAGCTGGGGTTGCGGGGCTCCTCTTGGCCCGAGGACAGGCTGTCGCTTGGTGGTGTTGCTGCCGAGGACCCCTCTCGGTTTCAATCTCTCGGCGCAGCTGCCCCCTCTCCGGGCCCGAGGGCTTTGGCAGCCCTCTGCTGCTGTCTGGAGTGCAGCCCTGGAGGCTCGCCAGGGCTAACAGCTTTTCGTGAGTGCAGAGGAAACTGGATTCCTTTTATGAAGCTGGTCGATGCGCAGCATCAGGCACTTCTGTTCCGGGCGGAGGCACTGGAGGGAATGTCACATGACACAGGCCTGAGGCTGGAGGGGACGGGGCACCCAGGGCCTGCCCAGGGCTTACAGCAGATGAGCTGATGTCCCGGCCCAGCTTGGCTGAGTCATGGCAGAGATTCAGGGCCAGTGCTGTGGCATAGTGGGTAAAGCTACCACCTGTAACACTGGCATTCCATATAGGCGCTGGTTCGAGTCCAGGCTGCCTCCTTTCTGATCCAGCTCCCTGCTAATGGCCTAGGAAAGCAGCAGACAATGCCATAAGTGCTTGGGCCCCTGCACCCACTTGGGAGACCTAGAAGAAGCTCCTGGCTCCTGGTTTTGGCCTGGCCTGGCCCTGGCCATTGCAGCCATTTGGGGAGTGAACCAGCAAATGAAAGATTTCTTCTTCCTGCCTCTTCCTCCATAACTGTGCCTTTCAAATACTTCATAAAAAAAGAAAGAATTGGGAATCTTCCTCTCCACTTTGCAGTCACTGGGCAATGGGAGCGTAGGATAAGAAGCCTGCTTGAAACACCGCATAGTAGGTGCTCATGAAAGCCCATTCTCTCTTCCAGTGAATCATGGGGCACACCCTGGGAATGCACACCCATCGCCCCCAAAACCAGTCATGTGCCCCACCCTGCCACAGTGTGCGGTGGGCTGTGCGGGACCAGAGATGAGTGGACTAGGCCTCAGGGTGGTGGGTGTCAGGTTTCAATTCCAGCTGCTCATGGGAGTGGTGGTGGTGGGGTATTTTAGCTTAGGTTAATTTTTTTTCCTCATAATTTGAATTTCCTAAGTTGGATTTTTTCCTCTTATTTTTCATTTTCACAGCTGTATTGATATACATTACATATCCTATAGTGCCTACATTATTAGTGTACACTTAGTTCTGATACTTTTAGTAAATATATACAGGGTGGCCACATCTTCCCATGACTCCAAAAATTCTCTTGGACCCATTTGTGCTCAGTCCCACCCTCCAGTCTCAGGTTCCTGTGTTTTCTGGGTATTTTTCCCTTGTTTGGAAACTTTGTATAAATAGAATTATATATATCCCTTGTAGTATTTGGTAGTGAGCTGGTCTCTTCCACTTGGCCTGCTGTTTTTGAGTGTGCACGTTGCTATTTCATTTCTTGATGCTACTGAGCAGTATCCCTGTGTGGAGAGAGCACCGTTGAGGATCCCTCAGGGAGCTTTGGCAACCCTGATGATGCCCCGGCCACCCCCAGGACAAGGACGTTGGTTGGCAGCGGCATTAGAATCACTCCAGGCTCAACGTGCAGCCTCCACTGGGCAGCCTCCTGTTTGGCCTTCGGTGATTGGCTCTGAGTCAGGCGTCTGGGGTAGAAACAGTGCCCTCTTGTGGCGGAGCCTTTGCACTTACAGGAGCACCTGTCCACCGGACTGCCTGGCTGCCCTCAGCAGGGTTGGCCGCCGTGGGGCAGGACAAAGCAGGTAGAGAGAGACCTTGCTCTGGTGTGGGGCTCCCCCAAGGGGTCGGCAGTGTCTGGGTGCTGATGCAGAGCTGAAGGTGTTGCAGAGGTGTGGCCCACAGGTGGAGATGGGGCGGGGTGGGCCTGGGGGTACTGAGGCGGT